GTTGCACCAAGTAAATGAACATAAAAACTAATTACATCAATGCTTTTCTCTTTCTTATAATTAGGTTGATGAACGGGCAGTTCTCATACACTTTGACTGGCCTGAAGGAAAAGCTGATGCATTAACAGAGGCAGCTTTTGAATACCAAGACCTAGTTCAATTGGAAAACCAAGTCACCTCTTTTATTGATGATCCCAACCTCCCATGTGAAGCTGCTTTGAAGAAGATGTACAGACTACTTGAAAAGTAGGTGCATTCTTCTTTCGGATGTTATTTATTTTTTAGATAGATCACAATGATGACTGAAAAAATGATATTTCCAAATCCTAATGTGACATGCCAATCTCTATCATGTTACAGAGTTTAATATCAATTCATGAGCTTTGAGGTTGAAAATTTTCCTCAACATTTTGTACAATTATACAGTTGGAAGATAACTACCTGTCAACAACTTGATTCATTCTCTTTATTCTTTTATACTTTGCAGAGTGGAACAAAGTGTATATGCCCTCTTACGTACAAGGGATATGGCCATTTCACGGTATAGGGAATTTGGAATTCCAACTAATTGGCTACTAGATTCAGGGCTTATCGGCAAGGTATTGTTACCAGCTTCAACAGATCTCATCATTGCTAATTCTAGGGCTGGTTGTTAGATCTTTGTGTACAAGTTAGGACTTAAGCAACAGAAATTGTGTTATACTTACCAGAGAATTGTCTGCAAATCCAGACTCTATAAGGAGGATTCTATAGCAAGTTTGGCTCCACCATTTGTACAATTGACTACATTAGTAATAGATAATTGACTTTACAAGGATATGACTTGCCAGCAAAGACTGTAGCTTCCCTGTGTCAAGTGATCTTAGAACCTAAGAGTTACGTTGATGCTTGTTGGAGTCTTAACTAAGCATAAAAATTTCTCTGGTTATAGACGTTGTCTCTGTGCCACAACAAAATTGAGATGTTCTATTTCTCCATTGCAGATCAAGCTCTCGTCTGTGCAATTGGCAAGGAAGTACATGAAACGTGTAGCTTCTGAACTTGATGCAATGGATGGACCTGAGAAAGAGCCAAACAGAGAGTTTTTGCTTCTGCAAGGTGTTCGTTTTGCCTTCCGAGTTCACCAAGTACGTATACTTTCATGTTTTGGTTGATTTTATTCCATATTCAAGTTTTACAGAAAGAGAGATGGGACACTGCCCTGGCCACTTCTATTTTGTGTTTAGTATTGAATTTTGGTGGGTGTCAATGTTGCTGAAGGAGAACCTACCAAATTAGGATTTCATTCTCTAAATTTCGGATGTGTATTAGATGAAATTTCCTTTGAAATATGCAAGTAAAATATTGATTGGGATCTTTCTGCAGTTTGCCGGGGGCTTTGATGCAGAGAGCATGAAGGCCTTTGAAGAACTAAGGAGCCGTGTCCATAGCCAAATGGAGGGAGGCAATAAACCAGAAGCATAAGAGTTTTGTTCCTTTTTACCTTGGCTTTTACCTATTCCGTGTTCATTCTTATATGGAGTTCTATATTTCATTTCTTCATCTAATCATAATTACATATCATATAGAGTGGATGTTGTACAATTACAATTTCATTAGTAAAACACACCTTATACTTCAAAACCTTTCAGTTCAAGCCAATTTTTATATGAAGCAAATTACTAACTCTATAGATTCTTCTTTTTAAAAAATCACTAACTAGATTAAGGAACCAACCTTGGTTTAATGGCAAAGTCTTCTTTGCGTCATGATGAAGTTCATATTTAAAAGCAGACAATCATGTTAAATAGATTTCAAGAATAAAAGGGTTGTTCCACAATTTCTAATTATGTCGGTACTTTTACTCAATGTTAACTTGTCTAAATGAAATCATAAAATATCTAACTTAATTTGAAATGAAATTAACTTAGAAGTAAAATGTTTTTTTTATTCAACATCCTTAGTAAAATGGTTTTCAGAAAATTATGACTTATTTATATTTTATTTTAATTTCCTACTCAATGAAATTAAAAATCAAACCAAACTCAACCCAAGTACTAATTCTGGTTCTGATTTTAGCAAGATTCTGAAGATTAATTTTAAATGGGCAAGAATTTTAAAATTCAAACATAAGATGAAACAGGTTTGTCAGTTTAACACAAATAGCTAGTATTTAAGAAATGAAGTTTAATAATAATGAGAGAACATTGAGATTGTAGAAATTACTACTTCATAACTTAGAAAATTGATAAGTATATAAAGGTCAAACAGAGGTGAGAAAGTTTTCAAAAATTTTCTTCCTAATTTTTCATTTTTACGGATAAACCATATACGAGAACATCTCGCCATGCTTGTGAACTTGGCACATAAAGAACAAACCTTGTCCTATGATACTTCTTTAAGAAGCAACATTTTGATACACCCGTACTTTAGTTAGTACCGAGGAGCAATTGGTTGAAGAAGTGTTTGATACTCGCACTATACTTAAGTTAGTACAAGCAGCAATTAGTTGATGAATTATTATAAATAACATGGTAGAATAATGACCCTATTGAGATATGGATTATGCACCTCTATACATTTTAGAAAGCATATTTTGATACTGGGACATTCTCCACATTACTGTTAAAAATAGTGAAAGTTGGAAGATTGAGGGTATTGGGAAAGCATGTCTCAAGATCCAAAATGGTGTGTCGTGAGGAAGCTTATTGATGTGATGTACAATCTATAAACACTATGCTTATCTGACTTGAAGAAAAATCAGATTTTGACAAGTACTCAGCTTGGCTAGACCAATGAGTTAAACTCCATGCACCACTGCCATATGTTACTTAGATAATACCAGTATTTACCAGAGAATGCACCATAAATTTCATTACTGATATCGGGAGCATCAAGTTCTGCACCCACGTTAAGGGATGAAAATGCAGCATGATCTATGCAAGGGGAAAGCTTTACAATTAATCATCATATCATGGTAACTACTAGATTTCTGTCAACAAATTTGGCACCTCCAACTTTTCCTTGAATTCCCGGTGGCAGATGAATAACTCGTCTCTGGTCCCCTGCTTCCACCAACAACTCGGATCCTCCCCTAAACTGCACAAGTCAGATGACTAAAGAATCATTGTCTGCAGAGGAAGATATGTTTAACATCACAATGTAACCCACAGAGCTAAATGTCCAAGGGATGATTGTTTCAGCTAACTGAGGAAGAACATGTCAAATTAACCAAATGGCCTTTAATATCATTTACTTCTGCAAAACCTGGAATTTCCTGTAGAATTTCTCCATAAAAAGTTTAACTACTTGCATATCCTTTGGTTGAAAGGCTTTTTCAGGATACTAACAGCCTATTGATTAAATTCTCATTCCAGTTCTAATTAATTCCTAGAAGTAAGAACTGAAATTCCACCCTCCAAAGAATTCAAAGTGGTGGAGGGGGGAGGATAGCTTTGACACAAAAGATTACATTCTATTTTATTCATATTGATACTAAAATGAAGTTTAGAATTAAGAATTAGTTAGGAACATATTGTATGTAAATTGAACCAAGCAGGAACATTATTTACTATATGCAACACTTAACATTTCATTAAAGGTAAAAACTAGAAACCATAAGTTAAAGATATGGTAAACATGGAATTCAAGGATATGAACATACTTGGTATAACTTGATTTCTGATTTATCAAAACCTGGCATGAAAAGGGTTACTAATTTTTTGGCTGCCTCAAACTTTACTGGTGGTGTCATGCTAATGCATCGACTTGTTGGAAGATTGAGGACATATCTAGCATTTTCACTGGCATTGTTTAGAAGTATTTCATTCCAGTCTAGAGGGCTGCTTGCTGAGATATTCGGAGTAAAAGCAAATGGCAAAGGCGAAAACATTTCTTTGACCTTTCCTTTGGATTCGCTGTTCAAATTGGGAGAATCAGGAGCAACTGCACCAGAAACCTGTGCACCAGCTTGGATGGTACAACCCCAATATCGCAATGCAGAATCCACTGAAGCTGGATTGTTTGGGTCCATCACAAGAAAGCAGCCAAATTTAGAAGGTTCTGAAAAGCCAGAAGCTCCTCTCTGCAGGTTGTAATCAATACAGAATCTTATTGGATGTTACCACAGTGACAAATAAATCAGAGCCATACCTCCAATAAACGTTCCAGAGAGTCCAATATTTCTGAACTCATTTTTCCGTTGAGAAGGGACTTGTTGCTGCTTATGCTCATGGTCTCATCAACAAGCCTCAGTAGTGACGGACTAACCAATCTCCCAATATCAGTCTTCTCGGCCAAGCTCCTCAAATATTTCAAGTAAAGTCTGATAATATTAATGTTACAATGATCATGTTAGTGAGGCCCGATGAGTAAAGGAGTGTGAGAGGGGAGGAACAGAAAGCCACACCCACACACCTTCCTTTACTGCTTGCTCCTACCATCCGTATAGTTTCCTCAGTGCTGCTACCGTCGTATATTACTATGTCAAATTTATCCTTTTGGTGGTTTGTTTGAGCGACATTCCCAAGAAACCCTACAAGCCTCTCAAGTGCTAATGCTGAAAAGATGGAATCCATACCAAGGAGCACACCAAGCTCTTTACCAACCACCTATTTAGAAGATTGATGCCAAAGAGGTTATCCATAGATAAAAAATCCATGGAAACTAAACCGTTTAGGTGACATTACAATGAAATGCAATGCAATAGTACATACCCACCCCTTCAAGAATTCCTTGGGTCAAATTAAGATGCTTATCTGCTTGCTTCAGCCGATCAAGAGGTTCAAGAAGCATCTGCAATTTTTCAAGAATAGCTCATCCTCTGTCCAGAACTTCCAGAAATAAAAATTAAAGATTCATTGTGCATGCCAAACAAACAAAAGGAACCCACTTTAGTTGTTTCCAACCTAACTGCTGAGAGGTTGTTGCTGCATGTGACAGGAGAAGGTCCAATCTTATGCCCTAGAAGGTACTCTGCAGTAGGGTCTTGTGTTTGTATCACCAAGCATGTACTATATCCAGCTATTGCATAATGCTGTATGGCATAAATTAGGTAGAAGAAAGATGAGAAGAGATTAAGCAGCTGTTCTCAAATTTAAAGTCACCAAAGCTTCACTAAGAACATAAATTCATTCCTGTTCAACTTCAACTCTGACAAGTTACGAAAGAATGTATGAATACTCGTTTCCTAAAGTTCCTACAAAAAAAAAAAGGATTTTTTCATATTAACAACCAAAACTTTATCACCAACTAAAACCCAATCCATCTAGTACAAAGAAACCCACTACACAAATGCTCTTCAAACCCCACAAGCCAAAATCTAAAGTGTGTTATATTGCACTCTCCTGCATCATAACAATTTTAGATCGCACTAACAGAAAGAATTCAACTGAATGTTACTGCATCACAATAATTTGCAGCTGAGAAAATCGCAAAATCAACCCAACAGGAAAAAGAGAAAAGCAACTTTAAAACTCAAAGACACCTGAGCAGCGAATACAGCAGAGGTGGTCTTGCCAGACCCACCTTTGCCCAAAAACGTAATCAATCTTGTTGACCGTTGAGAAGAATTAGCATTATCTTTGTCCTCTACAGAAGGAGAAGAAGAAGAAGAGACTGAGACGAACAGAGATCGATATGTCGTTGAGCATGATTTTGTGGAACGATGTGGAAGGGTGGAATTAGGAGTTAGTGGGAGGAAGGAAGAAGCGAGCAAAGAAACCATTTACTGATTCCTTTTCTCAGAGAGTGGTTTTGAATTGGGGAGGAAGGTGGAGAACTTTTTGGGCTGAGAAATCTAAACAAGGTTTACACATGTTCTTACCAGTAACTAATTGTTAGGTTTATAATTCATACGTGACCTTTGCAAGGATTAATGTTACGGTAATAATAACGAAGTAATAAATAAGAATATTGTTTAATTAAATTATTGATCTTATTTTATCATTTTTTAAAAAAAAAATTGTTAAAATTTTTATTCTATGAATTAGAATAAGAACGTAACATAAATAAAATATAAGTTTAAATAAAAAGAAAATTATAATTATAATTATAATTCAATAACTTAATATTTTGTTATAAATTTAATTATGCATTAAACCAAATGCAACTTTATGCTGAATTAATATTTATATGTTTTAGTAAATAATTACGTATATATTATGTTGGGATCATGAATTGTAGGAAAGCGAGTTGAATGGGTATAACATAATCATGCGTATTTGATGCACACAATTTACTGTTTAATGTTATGGGAATATATATGTTCAATTGAGAATTTTCTTTTAGTGAATACATATGATGTGTTTATTTTTTATTTTGTATTTTATTCTACACCTCACTAATTCATATTCATATTCATATATATATATATATATATATATATATATTAATTACAATAATAATAAATATATTGTGAAGAACTTAAAAGATCATTTTTCTCATATATTTACATTTTTTATACTTAATAATTTTTTACTTTTTATAAATATTAAGTAAGAAAAACATTTCATAAACTAAAATGTTTAATTTATTCATTAAAATATTTTCAGATATATTTTTTTAATTTATATAGATACTCCAAGATAATCTATCGAATGCAGCTCATATATACCACGAGTAAGAGATTCAAAATAAAAATTTTCATTGTTTCTCTTTTAAAAAATTAGGTTAAAAAAAACTATTATTATTTCTTAAAATTTTTTATAATAAATTAATGATAAAAGTTTTTTTACAGGATAATAAAATTTTTTGTGTTGTAAAATATTAGGAGACATTCTAATAGTATACTATTATTTGATATAATAATCAAAAGTTTGATTAGAAAATATAACTTGGATTATTCAATCTAGAAAATTAGATTTGTCATCATAAAACAAAACACTTATTAATCCAAATCAAATACCAACACTTAATTTGATTAAATCTAATTTTCATGCGAATATATTTGTGTAAATTTAAATTTAAATTTTATTTCCAATAACCCTCATGTGTAATAGCCAGCTGAGTACAAAAGAAAAGAAAAAGAACGTTAATTTTCTTTGTAAATGCGAGTTGAATGATATGTATATTTGAGTAAGTCTGTTTTAATTTGAGAACTCTGTAAATCTATAAGTGTGATTTGAATTGAGAACAATAATTAAATCAGAAGAGTGGAGATTAGAATATACTTCATGTGATGATTTATTTTTATTATGCATTTCGATTGTGATACTTATTTGACATTTTCTTGATAATAAATATTATTACGTTTTATATATTACGTGAATGTATCTATATAAATTTTCATTATAGAATCTTTTTTTTTACTGAACTCCTAAAGTTCACTTCAATTCACTCTCCATCCAGGTCAGAGAAAGTTCAAAATCAATTAAAGATGATGAAGAAAATTTTATTAATTTTTATTTTAATATTACAAATTAATTTAGATATCTCAAATATTTGTAAATAAATAATTATCCAGTCATAAGTAATGTATATTAAAGTATAGTTCTGCTACATATTTAATATTTATTTATTCAACTAGTTGAAAATATTGTGCTAACATCCTTACTCATTGACATTGGGGTTCGGGCTATTACACGTGGTATCAAAACACACGTTCCTCGGAACCAACCTTTGTGACATGAGGTGTAAGAAGTTTAGGAGGTTTAAGACCAGTAAAATTTAGGAGAATGACCTTTAAAAAATATTTTAGACCTCATCTGAACTATTTGTCTAAACGATAATAGGGGAATAGTATTCCACAAGCTTAACGATAGAAACCACATAGGCTACTTGATGGCAAACTTAGAACTCCACAAATTAGGAGTTTAACTTGAAGTTAACGGACAATGATACATAACCAACCATTATCGTTGAAGTTCATAAGTGTTAAGGAAAATCATTAGAGCCTTAATCTTTTATTGACCTATAGACCTCGTAAAGCCAAATGACTGCAACAAAAATCCCTTAGAAGGAAAAAAATTCCCTAGTGTGAGAAATTTTCCTATGTAGTAAGAAGATTCTCTTAGATTAAAAAAAAATTCATAGCTGGGAGATTTCCGGTACGAGAGCAACATTTCTTAAATAAGAGAAATCCCTTAGGTGAAAAGAAAATCTCTCAAATGAGAAAATTTTCCACTATGAAGAAATTTCCAAAATGAGAGAACCCCTAAATAGATATACTCCATATAACAAACCCTAAGCTGATAAGAATCAGATGACGATTTAATTTTTTAAGAATTCTCCTTGCATCCCTCTAAGAAAAGAAATACTCTTACTGTTCCAAAATTATTTTTCAACTTCGTTTAGAGACTTCAATAGTGATTTCGAATCCTATGGAAACAAATAACTAAATCCTTAGGAAATAAATTGAACATCTAACTAGAATCCTCTTTTATAAGAGTTTTAGTACTCTTAGAAAATTCCGTAGGTGAGGGGTATAACCATAGGAGCTGTCTTCTCATTCAACTATTCAGAAAATTTTCAACATGTTTCTTATCAAAGTAGTAAAGTAGAAGCGTGATGAACTACCATCATCACACAAAGATGATTTTTTTCTTCAAACACAAAAGAGTAA